AGCCAGCTTCATCTAAGGGGAGAAGGTTCAGAAACGGGATCAAAAATATTGAAAATATTAGCAGACAGATGAGATTTCTTCCAGCTTTCAGCATGAAGGGTCGAGGAAGGTGGTTTCTTTACCAGAGTAACCTTTTCCTAGCTATTCCTTTATATGCTTATATAATTTAGGTGAATATAAGTAGAAGAACATGTTTCAACATTAGTGAAATGAAGCAAGGAAAATTATTGTTGACGCTTTTCCAGTAAAAGCATAATCAAATTCATGCATTTTGGCAGAACAGTATTTTTTAGCAGAAAACAATTAATTGGAAAGATTTCAGCTAGATCTACCTGCCTGATTATTTTCCATCTTATACCATGGTTCACCAGCCTACATTTTTGCTTTACAACAAATACTGTTCTAAAGCAGGGCCCAAGCTCTCCTCAATCCCAGGCTGTTGTGACTTCTCCCACTTTTTTTTTTTTTTTTTTTTTGCACTTTCAGAGGAGGGCGGGTGAAATGTTTCTCTAGACAGAAATCACTGCAAACCCCATCTTCTCAAAGGCTTTGTTGGTTTGGGTTTTTTTTCAGGTTTAAAGGCAGCAAAAAGGATGATATGCTTGGGGTGTCCTATAACAGGCTGATACGAATAGATATAGCCACAGGAGATCCTATCACAACGTGGAGGTTCTCCAACATGAAGCAGTGGAATGTGAACTGGGAAATACGCCAGGTAAAACTGGAACAGCTCCCTGCGTTCAGTCATTACATTTCAGACACTGGATGATGCTTTCAGAAAATCTTTTTAAACCTCAGAGTGAAAAGATGTTGAATGTGTTGTGACATGTTATTAAATAATCTGCCTAAAATTTTTCTTAATGGAGTCTGTAGTCAAAATTCAGAAAGTAAAAGATCTCCATTTTAAAAGGTTCCTACCAAGCTTATTCTTTATAAGTTGCCCTTGATTTTGATGGGATGAAATACAGAGACTGAAAGGTAAATTCCAACCCGTTATGTTTACTGCTCTGTCAGTAAAAATCTCATTTTAACTCTCTGTATAGTCTAGCTCGTGCATCATCCTCTAAATTGTGGTGATTCAGTCTCTGTTACAGGCTGAGGATACAGTTTGTCTTGCAAATCCCAAACTGAGCTTGCAAGGCCAGGGTGCAAGCTCCTCTGTGTCAGCATGCGGTCCTGAGAAAGAAGCTCCGTTGTGTGATTTATACCGGGGTGCTCCTGACCCTGATGAAGGCTGCTCAGTGGGGCCAGCTGTTGCCCAGCAGTCCACTGCAGAGTTTGGGTTTGAAAGCTTGAAGCCAGCTTTGTAAATTGTAGATTTCTGGGGTAGAACTAATGTGACCCAATGTAAATTCAAGCAGCCTGGAAACTGTTCCTGCTTATACAGTTTTCCCCATCCACCTGTAGGAGCCAGGAGAGATCAGATACAATCCCTAGTACTCTCCTGCAGTCCTCCCTGTGCCAAAGCCTGTAATGCTGGGTAAAACTGTTGGGTTTGCTTTAAATCTCTCTCAAAAAAGGCAGAATCCACAGTTAGCACCTAACCTCAGTTTGCTGGATTTTAGAACTGACGGTAGTTGGAAATCAAAACCTGGACCCCAAAAGCGGATTTAAGGTCAGCACATACCAATGGACAGTATTAAACACTATTGGTTAAGTGCACAAAGAGTCAGGAGTACCATTCC